TGAGAGTATTCAGGTCAGTCATGACAAGATCGAGGATAGTCTGTCTGGTAAGACAAGACTTATCTACCATTTTCAGTATGTCAGCGCCTCGATTCTCAAATTCTAAAGAATATGAGAAATCGTGGGAGATATTAAGTCATGAGGGACTTCTTCTTGAGGTTAAGTGTAACCTCGAAGGGAGTAAAAAGTTGCAGGTACTACAGGTTGACATTCGCCGCGATGGAGAAGAGCCAATCGACAACAACGGATCGTGCCATGATGGTAAACCGACGCTTTCCATTGAAGGATGCCATGTCTGAATCTCAATACACGGGGAGATTGCAGAGAGAGTCTTCACCACCAGCAGTCCGATCGGAGATCCGCCCGCCGCCAGAAGAGGACGACCAACATATTTCATAGTTTCGCTTTGAAATCATATCTTATCAGTGGAACACTTTCTTTTAGAAAAAGTGACCATTTTCAGTCAGCAGTATTCTACAATTCACTTAATTGTGAATTGAGGAAGAGGTTAAGTTCAGCACCAGTGTTGACTATTCCCGATCCTTCTCGGAGTTTCACTATCTATAGCGATGCTTCGAGGCAGGGCTTGGGATGTGTCCTTATGTAGGACGGACGGGTCGTTGCGTACGCTTCACGTCAGCTTAAGCCTCATGAGCAGAACTATCCTACGCACGACTTAGAGTTAGCCGCAGTTGTTCACGCCCGGAAGATATGGCGTCATTATCTTTACGGCGGATGCTGCGAGATATTCACAGACCATAAGAGCCTACAGTACATTTTCACACAGAAGGAGCTAAATATGAGGCAGCGCCGTTGGCTCGAATTGGTCAGGGATTATGATTGTTCTATCCAGTACCATCCGGGGAAGGCGAACGTCGTCGCAGATACCCTAAGCCGAAAGGTGACGGGAGACTTGACGTACGTCATTGCGCAGCAGAGTCCATTGATCCAGGAGTTTGCCCGAATGTAACTTCAGGCAATTGATGCACTCCCCACAGCTATCTCGGGGAGCACTAGTGCCAGTGTCAGTGCTATGCAGCTTCAGCCGACACTGAGGGAGAGGATCCGGCGAGAGCAGGCTTCTGACGAGTTTGTACGTGTCATGGAGGCCAAGGTTCGCGCCGGAGAAGTACAGGATTTTCAGTTAGGCGCCGATGGTGCCTTGGAGTTCAGAGGCAGGATCGTGGTCCCGAAGGCCGAGGCACTGCGGAAGGAGATTCTAGCAGAGACACATACCGCACCTTACTTGGCC